GTTTTTTGGTGGGCGCCCATTTTGGTGGGGTGTTGCATCGGCTGAACTGTTGCATGCACTGACCACATCCAGTATGGTACATCGCAGCTTGGCTAGCGAGATTTGTCCCCCACCAAAGCACCGAACTGCTTCACCTTCACACAGCTTGACATCAACAAGATTGTAAGTGAATTTTTGAATTTTATATAACAATTCAGGGTCTCATAAACTTCCTCCACGGGTTTGAGGCTTAATTTTGGTCCGTGTTGTGATTCAATTGCATGTTAAAGTTAGTGATATCTTAGAAGAAATCGCCAACTTCAACTCGATTTAACTTGTTCTTCTCACTTTAGCAATTCACAAAACTTAGAGGAGAATTGCTTCGGTGTATGCGAAATGTGTTTCCAGCTTTAATTTACACGTTGTGTTGAGATAAAATTGCATTGCGCAGCGCAAGAGGTCGCATTTTCGGTACTTCGGTGAGGGACAAATCTCGCTAGCCTCCTCATGATTGTATTAATAGGACAAAGACTGATAGAAAGTGCCAGAAGAAAAAGTCACATGATCGACTGGAAAGAAAGTCACGTGAACATTTATCACAAATGACAAAGCTAGGCTTGTTGCGCTGAACTCCCGTTGCGAATCTTGCCAATCGCTTCGGCGACGGAGAAACTTTCTGATCACCATCACAGAGCATCATCTAGTACTTCAAGACAAGGATCTAAAACTACGATACCCGGAGCATCGTTCAGTATCCCCGATGACTGAATTCAGGACAAAATAGTTGCGTAGGCTGAGATGCCAGTTGAGGCACGAAGTGTCGCCGCCAGCGTATTGACCTCCCACAGCCGGACTACTGTGTGTTTCTTTACCTAAGAATTAGTTATGTGTAGGATATATGCAAGTGAAGACAATAAGAGATCATTAATATATTTCCATAAGTTTTTCTCCCTCTTGTCTACTTGCTTAAGAAATAGTGTTCCACTACACCGGTTGTTTCGGTACGAAGGGATGCATGTTAATTAAGAAGAGCCTCTTTTATTATTATAGAGAGTGTGAGGGCGTTATAATATATAACTATATAAGAAGTTAAACAAGAAAGAAGTAGGTACGTTTTTTGGTGTAGTAAAACAAGTTATTTTGGTGGGGGAAATTCTAGCGAGGCCAGACTTATGAACTAGTACTGTAAGTAGTTACTTAAACTGTGAAGCAAGGTTTGGGAATCACTGTGCCATAGCCTTTGCTGATAGCGCGGGGTCGCTTGTTGTTACTCACGTTGTTATTGGAGCCAAGAGCCGCAGGCTTGAACTGAGGCCGAACTGACACCAAATCACCAGACTCCACACCCGATTCAGCCGATCATCATGTGGTATCTTGGTGTGCATGATCGGCCTCAAAGTGTGCATCACTGCGATCAAAGGCATGCATTCGCTGAGGTCTGGCTCGCTCGTTGCAGAACAGGAAAGCGGCGGACACGATACAGCAGGCTACGTACTTTAGGTTGCTGATTGTCCACCCATATAGCAAGATACTATTCTCCTCTTTCACCTTTGCCACTTCTTTGTGGCGCTGTACTGCTACGTCACGACCATATGCTGACACTCTTGGTCACTCTTACAGCAAGTAAGTGGGACAAAGGATGCGACTTAAAACGCAGCCCCGCAATCCTTCCACCCTCGCCGTAATCGCGTGCCAGGAGATCACTACCTCTTGGCATTACTGAGCAATTGAGTAAACTAGAGCACGGCAGCATACACAGCAATCGGCAGCGAGCCCTTATGGCTCATTTTTTTTAACCGAATAGCTAAGGCAATAGTAAATTCCACCCAGTAACTTACCTGCAAAGTACTCTGTTCACAGCACAGTGCCTCTTATCTATGTATAAGAGTGACATTACAGGGGAATCTCAGCCGTTCTGAACGAAGTATGTACGTAAAGAGTTTAGGTTATGTGTTGGGTTGCGATTTACGACGCTGAACAGCGCTCTGCCTGTGAATGGAGTCTATGCCAGCCTTCCCACCATCGCATCCAGTAAGGTGCTTTTTCAAATAAAATACGAAGGGAGTATTATGCTTGCAGGGTGGTGGGCTGTTACTGCACCTACATCTTGCTGTGGGTTCAAATGCTCGCTCAGAACACTGAGGAAAGCGTGGAAGATTCGTAGAAACCACAGGAAGATCTGAGAAGGAACTTCCGCTTAATTTAAAGCCTAGCATTGGAGCTGTTGCATGGTGGTGTGATTTTCTTTTGTGGCGCCTGGTACGCGCCGTAGAGTGGGGCACCGCCAAGATTGCTGATCGACGGGCGCGTTGTTCGCGTCGCTAGCATCGTCAATGGTGGGATAGCAGCGTACGGCACTTTGGACACCAACATTGGACATGAACATTAGATACGAACACGCAATCGGGGATCCATACTAAGTCAGGATTAATAGAGAAAGTTTCTTCCAAGATCATAACTCATACGGCATTCACCTATACTCCAGGGCTAGATGGATGCCCAAGCGCCTGCTGCTCGTCGACAGGTATTCTTAAAGTATCGTGAGCTTTTCACTGGTAAGAATGTACGAAAAAGAAAGGCTATACGCAAAATTCTCCTCAAAAACTTGCCTGAACTAGAAGCGTCTGCCGGTGACGCGCATATTAACAACATCATCTCAATCCTCAAGTCTCTTCTTGAGGATGGCGTTTTCCAATCTGAGGAGATAGCAAGCAAACACTTTCCAGACCTCATCATAGGACCACCCTCGGAAATAGCAGCCGGAAACATCTCAAAAAAACGTAAGGCGTCGCCTACAAGGTCAATCAATGTTAAACGAATGGTGCAAATCGAGGCTATCGACAAATCAAGTCCTGAGGTTACAGCCGGTATGTACTTTACTTAGCCATTTTCTTGTCCGATAGGTGAAATCTCACATGCTTCCATGCAGGAATTTCTACTACCAACAGCTCAGGAAACAGGCCCTCTTACGTAACTCCGCGACCATCTGCATTTCCCTACAACGTTCAACATTATATCCTATCGCTATCTCAGCAGATCCTTGAAGAAGCATGCTTCCGATTCGTGAAGAGGTGGCTTCCTTCCTTGCTTGAAAAGTGTGGCTGGGTTTGTGCAGCTGCGGTCGAGCTTACAAAGTGGGTGCGTGTCATCAAGAAGCATCTAGACATTCTGCCTAGCGGTTGCATGAATACCGAACAACAAAAGCGTTTCAAAGAAACCTTACCATGCATTAATCGATTACGCCACACCGCGGTTCATCGCCTGCATCTTACCTCCGTTCAGTTGCTAAAGCAAGTTCACTCCGCGCATATACTAGCTGAAGTTTTGCAAGACAGCGAGTGCAGAAATAAATTGCAAACCATACATTTCAGGATGGATATGTGTGTCAAGAATATGGACCATGATATGGAAGCAATGGAGCAAGAAGCAGAACGTAGAGCCCGTCAGCTGGAGCAAATGCTGCGGACAACTTTCGCACAACAGCAGAAGAAACTATCTTCAGCCGCAGGCCAAGGCCTGATTGATTCCATCACCACAGAATTTGGACTCCCCCGCCCGAATGCGGCAGCAGAGATCAAGGCCACATTCACATGGGACGAGCATACTGGAAATACTGGAGGCACAATACTCATTGATGAGGACGACATCGAGAGTGACGAGAACCGGTTGCAAACGGAATTGTAATAGTTATAAAATTATGAAGTATTGTCTAGATGTAGGATTTTCTGCTAGATATTCAAGAAATAGGGGTTTCTATGAATGATGAGGGATATGCATCATGTTGGAACTTTACGTGGTAAGATTTTAGTAGATTTTGCATTGATGCCCTACAGGAAACGAGGTACACAGTCGGTGTGTCAAGAGGTTGCTGCAAAGAACCTCCGACAAATGCAGACACTCGGTAATTATTATTGCTTTCCCGCATGAGTTCCATATCCGAAGACTACCGTGAGTGCCTTGATAGAACAACGGGTCAGTACACAGTTTTGTGGAGCATCCGCCAAAATCCCGCCGCCTCGGCATCCTGCCAAGGCAAACATGTTGCACCTGTGTCACAAGGCATACCTCCACCCACGATATCCTCTTCAGTCACGACTCGGCACTCCTATTTACACAATTCAAATCAGCAACGTGCCATTCCTACGACACACTCTTGCGCATAGTGGCCGTATACGCGAACTCGACCGGCGCTCCTGGTCACCCTGACACCCGCTTTAGGATGCGGCCTTGCTGTGGTGATCTTGCCGTAGCTGCTAAGCATACAATACACACCAATGTGGCAGCAACGGGTTGAAGAGGGACTCACCACTCTCTTCGACATGATGAAGTAGTCTGCAAAGTTCCTTGACATTGCTACTCAATGGTCTTGTTCGTGGTCGGAAACCATCTCACCTACCATTGTACCAAACAGTCGCGCATTCAAGCTGGGAACTTGCGCATCGTACGTAGGGCGGATCGCCGAACATCGAGGCTCAAGCCCGCAGTCCGTTCGATCATCGCACGCCCCTCAGGACGCAAGCGGTGACAACGCGCATCATCCTTGTCAGAGCTTCACATTTATATGTAAATTTCGTCGAAAACCTCGGTGAACACTAGCGAGAGACAACACATAGTAGAAAAAGCGTTGACGGGGTCGCTGAGAGAAGTTATTCTCGGAAGTAACTAGGCGTAAGTAGATGTACTTCGATGTCTTGCATCCCTGTAGCGTCACGTTCGCGTCCTGATCTGCTGGACTGCATAGGCACGTGTCAACGTCCTTATGGTGACGGGAAGCCGCTAGCGTCCAGCTCAAAGCATCACAACACGACGCAACACACCAAGTTGCCAACATGCCAAAGCGCGCACACTCTGAAAGCAGCACTGCCTCGACGGATGAGAGTGACTGCAACGCCGATTCCTACGTATTTCGCCCTACCAAGCACCGCGCGCACTCGGCCCTGTCCTGCAATTTGTCGCTATTCTCCGTCAACACCGACCTCGATGCCCAGGGGGGCACACTGCCCCTCACGCGCGAAAACCTCAGAGTGCATACTCTCAGCACATCCTCACAGTACTCGCAGCCATCAGAGCTCGCCTCGGATACCCACCTGTCCATGTCGGCGCGCTCTGGGTCGCCAACGCGGAGCGCCTGGGACACGCGTGTCACGCTTCAAGCTTACCGCATTGAGGTCGATACACAACGTGAATTGCCGGCCGATCTTAAGCATCACTTCGACACAGTACTGTCATGTAAGAGAGATGGACCTCGCTCGCCCAACGCTCGCCGCGTCGTGCAGCATCACCTTGCAGCCTCGAGCCATTATTACTCTTTGCCGGCGAAGATGACCCGAGCGCGATCCATCCTGTGCCTATGATCTTTAGCAAACTCGACCTCAACCTGTCCCGCGACTTCCTTCCCCCGCCACCTCCCGGTAAGACGCTGTCCCAGTTGTCGCAACCTCAGGCCGGTATCATCATCGGATATCTGTCCACTTCGCAGGCCTATGAGTCTACACTCCGGACAGCCTTTACGCCTGACGAAGAGGCTGCGCTTGCCGACTTTACACTCAACCCTGCTCTTGTCTTCCCTTTTCTTAGTTCCCAATGGAAACCCGCTACCGGCGAATCGCACATGATTACACACTATCAGAGCGCCCGCGATGGCGCTGCGATCGTTCGCTACCTCGACGAGTTCTACAGCATCGCCCACGGTCGACCTGCGACAGCGCTCGAATGCGCACACGTCTCTTTCACCTGCGATATCCAGGTACTCAACATCTGGTTACATTGGCGTGAGCTGGACGCTAGTGGTGGTGCGACATACTACATGAAGAGCATCTTCGACTGCACCTTGCGTAATGAGAATCACCTTCTCGCCGCGCGGGGGCTGCTGTGGAACCATATCGATTATGCGCTAGACAGCCGGCTGCGCTCGCTGAAAGACGCACTTCCTGCTTTCTATACTGAGTTTCCTAAGCGGAAGTTCAAGACCACCAAGGCCGTCGGCTCCTCCCGAGCTTCTGTTCAATCAGATTCTATCGCCCACGCCCCGATTTCCTTGCCGCCCACTCCCTCGTCGAATCACAGTGGACTCGATCCAGTCAAACGGCACAACAAGCGACCGCGGACGGGAGCGAATGCTGATGGGTGAAGTAGGCAAATGGAGTATTGTGTTTTTGTGTACTTTGCATCTTTGATATGCAGAGATCAGCGAGTCTCATTAGACGGACTGCGAGAAGCCTGCGCAGCCAAGGCGGCTATTCATTAATGAGGTAAGGCGATAGGACCGACAGTCCAGATCAAAGGGAATATCACTGTCGAATAAAACCTGTTTCAGACTATGACGTTTTTTTTTTGACGAAACATAAAGATGGAGCAAACTCTGGGAATTTCACATGACAAGCTGATCAGGTGGGGCCATCCCTTTCGATGTGGCATGGGAAGGTTTTTGCCTACAAGATCAAAAGCAGGCCTGGAAGTTCCGCTGCATTGAACCAGTCTGGATCGGCGAGGCAGAACGCGCCATCGTTGGGCACGGCTCGAGCTTGGGTGGGCGGATACGGCCATCGGTCGGGGACGGTTGAGCGAGGTCGATACATGTTCTTCCCTCCGCAATGATCGGGCATGGCTGTTGCAGACAAAAAGCTCCCAGTTGCCTATTGCTACAATGATATTGTTACGTGACGTATGTGGTTGGCACATGGCCCGTCATCCTGAGCCGGACCATTGCGCTAGAGGCTTCTTTGCCTTGCACAGCCACTTTGCAAGCTATAAAGCGCATGTCCTGAATCGCAGCTAACAGACAGAACATTCAGGAACGCACTCGGCAATGCGTTCGATCAGCGCCACTGGTCTTATGTCCACTATCAAGTACTGGCCATTTTTATCTTGTGGTCGAGCTTGGTTTGACAACAAGATGAAGCCGCATGGCAGCTTCACTGGAAAGATCTTAGTTTGTAGTAGCGCTAAAATGCTAGTGGTATCCATTTTCTTTGTTTTCGTGACATACGGAGCTGTTTTGTTGCTTGGTATACTCCTTGGTCCGGAGATGCTGCATGCGGTTCTTTCGTATGTCGGGAAAGCTCGCGTTCCAAAAAGGAGGCCCAGGTATCTTTTGCTACATCATTTGACCTCGGGCCTACTTGTGTAAGCTGAGGGAAAGATTCCACGCATGATGATTTCTCTAATCGTCTTGCCGTCTGAGGAACTGGACAACCATTCCCAGTATGAGGCATCAAGCTCGGATCAGCATTGGAGGAGTCAATAACTAGTATCATGGCCCAAAACTCCCTAGCGGCGCCCTGCGCATCAGTTCAAGGACAGGCAAGCTGGGGAAAAGAGCATTTGGTGCTTAGTTCTAGTGGGTGAAAATCCAGGCTCTTCTTCGGCTTGCAGTTTTCGCGGCGTACCATCTCAGCGATGTCTGAAGCATTCAACGGGATCTCACCCTTTGTTCGTCTTCATACAAACTCACCGACATCCATTGAAGCCATCCCCATCGATTTGAGTCTCTTCAAAGCCCTCAGCAAGTCAGCAGAAGAACTACTAGCCGAGAGTAGTACATGTGACTGCGACGTAAAGGATGTGGGAGTTTCGGTTCCTGAAGATGCCATCCAAAGCCGCCCCACAACTGGGCGGATATTCACCAATGCTTTCGCGGGCGTCTTCGCTGAAAGAAGATTTCTTATACGCGGATCTGGATGCCTGGAGGCAATGACGCGGGCAGTAATGACGGGCGATGATTGAGTTTGGATGCGGATATCTGGACTGGCGCCTTGCTGCAACAGCATGAACACGATCTGGTACGCATCATCATCTAGCTTCCTTTTGAGCAGGTCTTCATCGCTGACGTCTACCAAAAGGACGCGCACTAAAGCATTGCTGAGATTGTGTACATGCTTGCCGTCCAATTTTCGTTGAAGCTGCGCGTCTCTGTCGTTGAGATAGTGCTTCACCAAGCGTGGCAGTTTGGCTTCCGAAGCTATCTGTAACACCGTGCCTGCATTTTTTCCTAAAGGTTCGACAGACGCGTACAGCTATTGAGAAAGTAGCAGAGCCACAGATTCGTGTCGGGCGAAAATGACAACAGGGAGCGGAACCCTTAATCTGTTAATAAATTGGCTAGCTCCAGCTTCCAAAAGCATCTTGACTATCTCTAGATACCCATGAAAAGCGGCTGTTGCAAGAGGAGTCAAGTGCATGTCGTTGGCGGTCCATGGAATTGTAAGTCGAGTTTCTATATCTCCGCCCACCTGTAGAATCCGTTGAGTCATCGCCTTGAGGTTTCTTTTGGCTGCATAGTTTAGCAGGCTGCTTTTGTTGTACCGCACATTGTGACGAGATATGTAGTCTGCGATGACCGGATAGAACCTCCGACTTGATTGCGCAAAACAGATTTGATCTTTTTGGCAATCTAAGCGCTGTACCACCTCGAATAATATCTCGTTCGGCATAGTCCAAATTGCTGCGTTGTATCGGTAAAGCTTGAAGTAATCTTGAACAAAGTAATAAAGCCTTCTGCTAACCTTACTCAATACCCGAAGATCCAGGATGTTGAGAAAAGACGCAATTTCAACGAGGTTTTCACTCGGTAGTATGTAAAATCCTGTAGACAATATGTCATGGTTGAGTGCATGTTCACACATCATGGCGCGTGTTGTGTGTGAGAAAGTTGAATGACTTTGGTTTGTTTTGAGTCGCGATCACATTTCAGCCAAAGCTCTTCAACAGACGTAAGAGAATACCGCAGATCACGTGTTCGCGCATAAGTGGCTCCCTGCACGTCTCAGAGAACGTAGATATGGCTTTGTGAGCTTAGTCGCTTTGTTGCACACAACATGTCCAACCCAGTACGGCGTGATTAGAGCTAAAACTACAGATACTAAACGCGCTCGCATGTACGCAGATGCGATGACGGCCATCTACTTTGCAATTTTTCACGGCAAGAACCAGCCAGACGTGGGACGAGCACCTCGCGATAGTACACTCTCATGCACCTGCAGCTTCCAGCTTCTGTAAGCAGGCGATTCTTGATCTCATGCTAAACCTCTCTCGTTTAATGATGGCCTTATTACCTGGATAGTGCTAGCTCTTATCAGCAATGCCATGAGTCAATCTTCTCCCCAATACTCGGGCCAATCAAAGTGAGATATCTATGGAGTCTAACCCTCTTCCGAGCAAGCGTATACTGGGCAAATCGATGACCTGTGCGAGATGACAACTAAGCCGCGTGTGCAAAGCGGAAGCTGCAAATGCATGGGGGTATATCAGAATCATGACTGGCTAACTACTATGAGTGATGTAGGCATGACAGGGCCACTGCCAATTCAAAGCTGTACAGTCGTTAGCGATTGCGGCTTCACCCCTAAACACAGTTACGCGACAGATTTGAACAGCCCCACCTTCCGCACACAGCTTAGTAGCGGCTGTCTGCTGCAAAACAGATGACGCGGTTGGTCAATTGTCGAACTACCAATGACAGATTTTATGGATGCTGCACGCAGGGGTGAAGCTACAATCGCTAGCGACTGTAACAAGACGAGGAAAGCCTGCCTGCAGTTTGTGCATGTCGCCCTTTCCAGGGCTATTAATCTCTATCTGGAAGATGACACATGGTAGCACTTAAACTCTGATGACAATCATATGTTGCGAGCGCTACATAGGATAGGGAACATGTCAGGTCCTTGGTCACCACTTCCTCTCAACATTCTCACTTGCGTTCAACAAGAGTCTTTAGAAGGGGCACCAGCGCCTCAATCCGAAATATGGCACTATGTGATGCTAACCTAATGTGGGTATTGCGACAGCCTATGTTCGCAAATAGTCCAATACAGATAAGCTCGCTGCCTGACAGATAAGGCTTAGCATCAGCGCTGATCCGCCAGCGTACGCGCACGCTGGGAGGATAATGCACTCGCATAAGCCATCTTCGAGAGTGGCTGTAACTTTTTTCTCCTATGCTCGCCTGCTACATATGGAAACGGCCAGTGGTATGAATGCAATGGCTGATAACAGCGATTGCGGTGCAGAAGTGGCCGAACCCGGGTCGTATGGCTGCTGCGGCCGTCCTGCGCTACAAGCGAGGTTGACCGCGATACGACTCGATCCTGACCGTAAGCATTTTAAAGGATCTGCCGGCTCAGCACACGACATGAACTGTGCCGCATTGGCGCGACTGCTTGCCAATAAGCAACTTATGCTCTCCAACCGACGGATCGTAAGCGAACTTCCCAATACGCCGTAGTGCAAACAAGGGTAGGCCAGTTTACTGCAGGCAGCTGCGTCGCGCATCCTACGGGAAAAAGTATGGTATGGTAAAGTGGTCCTTACCGATATGTGGTACATACAGCTAGTTACAGGTTTCTCGCAAACTCAACAACATCTATGCTTAGCTCATATGCCAGAGGTCTAGCAAAGGCTTGATTATCAGGGGAGGTCTCTTGTTAAACACCACGTGCACATATCTTATCAATAAGCAATTTCCGTGCACAGAGATTCATCCCGCATAGACCAAAGCCGGCAATTCTAGGCGCTTCTTGCACTTACTATGTATCACAGAAGTCAATTTACTGTAGCTCGGCGGCTGGATGGACCTTGCGTGGGAGTAGCGCCTTTTTCCTTTCCCACAGAACTATTAGATGACCCTAGGGGCAAGCATAGTCTCTGACTGACCATCTTTCACGGCTAACAATACGCTTTTTATTATAAGTCGAGAGCTGCTACGAGAATACAGTATCAGACCCTTCATGGCAGAACAGCAGCTAAGGGCGAGTTGCACTGCAACCAACGCAAGTTTAGATATTTCCACAGAATCAGGGCTTCACGCTTGGATCTATTCGAACTATTGTGAGAAGGGCTTTCGATACAATGGGACATCCAAAAGTTTGGCAGGGTTGCGAGCGCATTTGTTTGCCCTGAACACCGGGCTTTCGCGAACAAGCATCCGCCAGGCGATTCATCAGTGAGTACACCCCGCAACTGATCCTTGCTCGGTAGTGTTCTGTGTCAATTTGATTCAGCTCTAAATACGGGTCGACTTGGATGTTGTCTTGCAGTGAAGTTCTGAACCTTGATATCTAACGATATGCATGCTACACACTTATACATAAATTGACGCCAAACAGGCTTCTTTCACCAGAGCATCCGTACAGCCTGATGGGAGCAAAAACGAAGGGTATCCCAACGAACGACACAAGAAAAAAAGATACGGATATCCTGCCTTCGCAACTGAGTGCTAACACAACCAACACGGAACCACTGAAGCCACAATCGACTCCAGGCATACCGTGCATGTCGCAGCTCGGTCTTACCCAAGTTGCAATGGCGGGAGAACATGATTCCTTCATCCCAAGTAGCAAGAGTTACGGTTCTTCCAGTACCGTCGTGTCTGAGGACCTTGCAGCTGATACAGGTGGGTGCGTTCGCAAAGGTAGTCTAACATTCAAATATGGCATTTTGAACGATACAGACCTTCTCATATCAGACGACGGCGAACAAAATGAAACGGGAGATATTCAACTCCACGAAAGGGCTACCCAAATTCGGCATGCACCATTGTTGGGCGTGGATGTCATCTTGCAGAACGATCAACACCTTCTCCCACAATATGGGCTCATAGGTTTATATGGCAAAGCGAAGGATATCAGATCTAAGCTTTTCATGAATACTAATGTTCCGTTTTCTATGTTCCTTTGCGGAGTTCAAGGAAGCGGCAAGTCCCACACAACATCCTGCATCCTTGAAAATTCTCTAATACCTTCTAAACATCTTGGAAGGCTCCAAAACCCACTATCTGCGCTAGTATTTAGCTATGGTCACTTTAGTGGTGACAGCATTGGGTCCAGCATCAGCGAATCCGCATTCTTGGCTTCTAGCAGAGCCAAAATACCTGGTGCGGCCCATGTCAAAAAGGTGCATGTCTTGGTCTCACCGTCGAACTATGTGCGAATATCGAAGCTATACCTACAGCTTCCCAACGTTTCGGTCACGCCGTTTAAGATAAAACCTCGGAACCTCAACATCACTACAATCCTTACGTTGATGAATGTGAATGAGTCGGAAGAAACACCTCTTTACATGGCACAAGTCACGCAAATACTTCGGGAGATGTCGACAACAGGAGGACCATTCGACTACAAGGCGTTTAAGCTACATCTAAAGAAGCAGAAGTTCAACCCTGCACAAACCAACATGCTCCAGATGCGTCTCAGCTTACTCGAGTCATTCTTGGACATGACAGATACCTCACCCGAAATGTCGTTCCTGCCTGGTGAAATAACAATCATGGATATGTCTTGTCCCTTTGTTGATGCCAACACAGCGTGTGTCCTCTTTGAGATTGGGCTTCAGCAATATCTGCATTCTCAAGGTACCGGTAAGATGATCGTCTTAGACGAAGCACACAAGGTATGAATCATAAAACCGCTCCATTCCCGGTTTTGTCATTGATCCTGACTAGTACATGCTTAAAATACCGGGAGCGAAGTCGCTGAACGAGGCACTTCTCCAGACCATCCGCCTACAGCGGCACCACGGTGCTAGGGTTATCGTCTCAACACAAGAACCTACCCTTTTGACTGACCTGATCGCTCTTTGCTCCGTTACGGTAATTCATCGCTTCTCAAGTCCAGAGTGGTTCTCGGCTATCAGACGCCATGTTCCCATCACAGATGAGAACCGCGATGATCTCATGCGAAGAATTGAGAGCCTGAAGACGGGCCAGGCGATCGTATACTCACCTAACACAGTTCTCGGTTCTGATGACTATGGAAGTTTAATGATGGGTACAAGTGGGATGATCGATGTTCGAATCAGGAGGAGACTTACAAGCGATGGAGGACAATCTGTACTAGCAGTGTAGGAAAGTTACTTGCGGAACAGCCCATTTTATTTCTACTCGGTGAGGAGGGTACCGTGTCTGCTTCCATGATTTTCATTTCAAAAGCCTTTTTTTGCAATCGTGACAATCAATCTAGATTTAAAACCCTGCTTGTGCATGAAGCAATGTAGCTCATTGCTGCGTGGGTTAGTTCATAAGCCGTAGTTATCGGTTGCAATATATGAGGAGGTCTCTTGGAGTAAGTGCAGTCCCAGAGATGGGTGTATTGCATCAGGAATACTCGTATAATGCCGGTAGAAGTGGCCATATGCGAAAAATCAAGTGACACAGTTTCCCAGATGTACATATGAGCTGCCTAAGCCGAGTGTTTAGCCCTGAATATCTCGCCTAGAAACTAGAGAGCATTTCATAAGCTATGGCTCTTGGAAGACCTACGGATTTTACTTTAAGCAGGGGCTGAATGCTTAGCTGAAGGCGGTGGCACCGACAGGGAGATATATCACATTTTCAAGCACGCTGTAAGTAGACACTGCAGAAACTTCGGTTTGGTTTGCAAGAAACTATTCTCGAGATACGATAGTGTTTTCAATAGTTTCCTGGAATCCCTACGTCTCGAGGCGTCGAATGTGTTAATGCATGTAAAATCTCATGCTGCCCAGCAAGGGGAGAGACGTTATTTTCCTGACAAGTATCGGCTTTGACCATTCCCAGAGTTATAGTATATTGAGCCCTGCTTTCATTAGCTAAACAAGCGTCGTTAAATCGAAGTTGAAAAGCCGTATATATTCGGGTTGCTATAGTAGTATGATTCATTGCTCTAGGTATGTGGGGTGGGATAATGACGCCGCATCAGAGCACCATAGCTTATGGTCAGCTGTTGTTGTTCGCATCAGGTAATCACCTTAACCTGCGTCACAAATATCACTTTTTACACAGCTATTCTGATCGAATCTATTCTTCATTTTGGTTTGTACACATATGTACACCACAGCGCAGGCAGGAGTAGGCTAGGGTATGTACTACAAGCAGCTGTACGGGCGAGCATCAAAGGGCTACTATTATACACTCTAAACAGCGTACGTTTTACGTTTTCGCTAAGCTTCTCATTCTCTAGACAATAGTTAATATTACGCTTAAGCGTCCGGATTGTTAGAGGCGTGTTTAGCTCTAGTGGCAGTGGTGTTCCATCTGTAGTAGCGTTGCTACTACTATCACTACTATCACTGCCAGCATCTTGGCAATCAGTGTCCCAATCAGCAAAATCTCTCTGTATATTATTCTTAACGCGCTTAACATCTAATGAATATAATCCTGAGTCCCGCCATCATTTTTGTATCGTACGGGGCTTGAATGTATAGGCGCGGATTGACTCGATAGCAGCCAAGAACTTAATCTTATTGAAAGCTGTACAGCCTGTTCGGGTTGCATGATCAACAGCTTGCGCGTGCCAGTGCTTGTACGGCTGGAAACAGCCCACATCAAGTGGTTGGAGAAAGTGAGATGTATTTGGAGGCAGACGATAGGCAATAACCTTGTGATCCTCAAGGACTTCTAGAAACTCTTGGGTGCAGTGTGAATCAAATCCATCGAACAGAAGCAGCCGATATACCCCTTGAATATGCTTCTGGCTCTGTTGTACGAAGTGCTTTACCCACTCATAGCTTAATTGATCGTTTGTATAGCCACTATCGCTATACGCGATCAGATGGTTATCGGGCAAATCAGTGAAGTAGCGCTCAAGGAGCGCGTCGCCTTCAGTAATAACCATCGGTGGGATAGCGTGACCTGCAGCGTTGACGCACTCAGTTACAGTCAATGATGTACGATCATCAGGCGTTGGTAAATAGACACGGCGGCGAGGGTCGAAAGTAACAACCCACTGGTCTTTTCCGATTCCAATGCGAAAGCTAGTCTCGTCAAAGTTCCAGATATCTGATGGTGGGATGCCATGCGTCTGAATCAAGCTTGTGAAGGTGTCAAACCACTCTATAATAGAGTCTGAGTCATGCGCAAGTGCGCGATTAAGATTAAGAGATCTCTGTCGCCGTACGTGAAGCTCGGGTTGCCGTTTAAGCCATTGTTTTGCCCATCGCGAGCTTGCAGTTGGTGGAGGACCAGGACTATCATGAGCTTGTTGAAGAAGATAATTGGCACATGATACAATCATAGGCAATCGTACACAAACGCCAAGTTAATTAAGACGTGCGATATAATCGTACAGCGCTTGGTCTTGCGCCTTAGCAAGCTTGTAGGTACCAGAAGGACGTTGAGGATGTGTTAGGCGGCCCTTTGATCGGGCGAGTAATCGCTGGTATGGAACACCGTATTCACGCGCAAGCTGCTTAAAATTAGGCCTCGAGATATCTTTGATAGACTCTAAGATCTTTGTAATGCGATCATTAATTAAAGCTTGAGATTGAGCCATTGTGGGGGCTATAAGTGGAGATCAAAGTAATTGAGTTGCGAAAAATATCGTATTGAGCGTCCGCACTCGCCTGCGGCGAGTGTCAGCGCAGCTGACTTAGCTAAATAAGCTAAGCCTTGGCACGGATAGTTAGTTAGTTAACGTGTTCTATCAGTAAGCTGAAAAAAACACGACAACAGCGAGTATTGCAATTTTTGGAATTAACGCAGTATATCGCACGTAAAAGCTAGCCTGACACGCCCTACGACCCGTCAGCTCTTCAGAAGCAGCGCCCACTGCCACTGAAGCGTTATGGCGACGCCGTGGCCGCGAAGGGCGACATGGCCTACCCCGCTACGCGAGCATGCTACTTCTCTCGGCACCTTTCTTCACGACGTCCTGGAGGCTATCGAGCCCAACGGCAGCCAGACCGTGCCAGCAGACCTCGCCGGAGATGTGATTCGCGGCGCGTTAACGCTCGTCTTAAAGACGCAACATACGCCTGACCTGGACACAGTCCGCGACGCCCTCGCAGTCGCACAAACTGAAGCCAAGACCAACGCAGAGCAGACCGCGCAAGCCCTCGACCAGATCAAGGGCGAACTTAAGAACACCGTAGATATCGTGCAACTAGTAGCTGCCAACATGCAACAGAATGCTAGTACAGTAGAAGAGACGAGAGCGGCAGCCAAAGAGGCGACACAAGTGGGCAAGGCTACCCTGGAAATGGTAAGAGAGATCAAGAACAAAGCACCACAGCAGCAGCGAACGAACGGGCCAACATCGTACGCTGCGGCGGCAGCAAGA